GGTAAAAATGTAAAGGTGAACATATATTTTTTTAAAAAAATGCTCAATATCATTAGCCATCATAGAAATGCAAATGTAAAAACCAGGAGATACCATATCCTCAAGTTAGAATGGCTATTATAAAAAAAAAAAATAAGGAATACTGTTGAGAATGTGGAGAAATGGAACTATTATTCACTGTTGGTGGTAATGTAAATTAGTACAACCATTATGGAAAATATTATGCAGTTTCATCAAAAAATAAACAAAAATAGCATAGCTGTATTATATGATCCAGCTATTCCACTTCTGGGTTTATAGMCAAAGTAAATTAAATTAACATACCAAAGGGTACATGGATGCTCATATTTATTGTGGCACCATTCACAATCGCTAAGATGTAGAATCAGCCTAGTTGTCCATCAACAAATGAATGGCTGGAGAAAAAGGCGGTAGAATTCAACCACAAAGAAAATAAAAATCCTGCCATTTTTAAGTAAAATGAATTTAACAGGAGACATTACATTAAATAAAATAAGCCAGACACAGAAAGACAAGTATCACATGTTCTCTCTCATGTGTGGAAGCTTAAAAAATAGCCCTGTGTGTTTAATAGCAATTACTATGAATTATAAAGGTAGAAAAAAAACAGRTTGGGTTTTTATCATTGCATACTCTATCCATGTGTGGAAGTATAACTATGAAATCCACTAATATATACAATTAATACATGTAAACAATTTGTTTTAAATATAAAGTTGAGTCAAGGGCAAAAGACATCTCTTTTAAGGGAACTGTAGTGTTGAAATTTTAAAATGAAAGTAAGTAATTCCCAATTTTATCTGTTTCTTTCTTTCTTTTTTTCCCCATGTATGCCTTATTCTCTTCACCTCTAGCTGGAATTGGCAAGTTAGATTTTAAGATCCCTTTATGAAGCTCTATTCTGATTGTATAGAGTTTAATAAAAACATATAAATTCAATATTCCTACAATTCCTATAATTAAGGACTTAACTTCCTTCTAGTTCTTGCTTAAGTCAGTGTTTCAACACATGCATGCCTAGTACTTACTMTAACTTACACAACCCCAGCAAGATAATCTTTTCTTATGACATTTTAAAATATCATACTATTTATACATATAATTATATTTATAAAAATACTTGCTATGTATTTTTACTTTTTTTTAAATCGCCAAATTAAACCTCCATGAGGTTGGGGAACAAGTTTACCCATGACCAATCATATAATTCTTTACTAGTTAATGCATTAATGTACCAATCTACTTTGTGAAAGATAATATAATTTTATTATATTGATAATATTTTTATTATGAAATAATTTTATAAATATATTATTATTATTATTATTATTATTATTATTTACATTTTCAAATAAGGCACATGTAGCCTGAGGATTTGGAATCTAAGACCAAAATAAATAAATTATCTAAATTTACCTTAACAATAATGTAAGCCATTTACTTAAAAGTAAGAAAAATGCTTAATTTCTATCTTTGCAAAGTTTGACAAGTAAAATGACAATAAAATAGAACATTTGCAGTTCAGAGCACTCAGTATGACTGTAGATGTAGGAATAATATCTTCCCAGTTATATCTTTGATGATAGTGGTTGAAACCTGCAAGTCTTTTATCATTATAACATGTAAGGGTTCCAAAAATCAATTATTGAAAAAAATATTATTTCCTAAAGTAGATTTTAAAGCCATAGATTGGATTTGATTGCTTCTCTCCATTAGTAATTCAAAATTTAATGATGATCATTCTCATCTGATGAGCTTCTGATAGAATTGTCAGTTTTTCTCTGAGAAAGAATTTTTTCTTTCTGTGATGACAGAACAGTCATTGTTGGACTGTTGAGATTGCAAAGRAAAAAAAGCTGTGATCTTGATTACAGATCAGGTATTTTTTGGCAAATGAATTCAAATCTTTTAATTACTGTTGATAAACAGGAAACTGAARTGTTATAATAGGTGCATTTGTTTATATGCCTTATTATGTTTTATAAAACTGCAGTTTTGATGTCACTTCTTAATCTCTGATAAAAGTAATAACTGATTCATACCTGTCAGAAGATTAATTAGATAAAGAATAAATTAACTAGATAAAGAATTAGAATTTAATGGCCCTAAAGAAACAACAAAAATATGCTGTTTTATTTATTAGTAGTAATCAATAAGTTAAATTAATTTTAGATACCAGTTCTTATGATATGTATAAAGAATATTTTCTTGGGGCTGGGGATGTGGYTCAAGCAGTAGCTCGCTCGCCTGATATGCACAGGGCACTGGGTTCGATCCTCAACACCATATAAAAATAAAATAAAGATATTGTGTCCACCTAAAAAAATTTAAAAATAAATATTAAAAAAGAATATTTTCTTAATTAAAAAACAATTCTTTATTATTTTCAAGAATTTTCTTAAATAACAACGTATTGACTCAAAAAAGTTTAGATCAAGTGTCTTTATCTCTTTCCCCATAACACTTTTGATTTATTTTTTTATCTCTGTTATTAATCTCTTAGCCTACTAATAAGAATGTAAAAATTTACATATAGTAAAATTTATCKATTTAAATTTTCAATTTAAATTGCTATGAACTCAATACAAATATCTTGAAACTTCTGTAGGAACATAAATGGAAGTTATAATTATTGATAGTTTAAATCTACATTACATAATATAGTTAATGGCATGTTTATTTGACCCAGTTAAAATACTGTTTTTTCCTTTTAAACAAACAACCCATTGAAATAGAGAGGAAGAAAAGAAAGCAGAGATGACAGAAATGTGCATCTCATTTAAAATCTGTTTTAAACATGTTAATAATCTTARTAAGTTCCAGGTTATAAAATTTGATATTTTTATTTTATAATTTTATATTTGATATTTGATTTGTSTACTCGTTATAAAATATAAATTATTTMAGTATTTTTAAATACAGATAACATTTTACAGAAGAGAAAAGTAAAACATAGTGGGGATAAGTAATTTTTGTGAAGTGACACTACTCTTAAGTAGCAGTACCAATATTTGAACAAAAACAATCTGGCTCCAGAATGCATATTCTTAAACATTACTTTATACTATCTGTCATTAATTCATGACATTAATAAAATTATGGAAAAAAAATTTCTGTATTTGAGAAAAATATCCTATTGACTAAAAATGTAAATATTTTCTTAAACGAAATTTCATGAATTTACAACTGTTTAGGAAACCATAGTCATTTTTCACTGTTTTAGTTTGCTTTGTATTGCTATAGCAAAATTCCTGAAGCTGGGTAACTTAAAAATAACAGAAACTTATTTTTCACAGTTTTGCATTGAGGAACATTCAAGAACAATGTGCCAGCTGATTAGTTGTCTGGTTACAATTCRGGATGTGCTTCCAGGATTGTACCTTGCATTCTGCTTCCTTGGAAGTGTCAAGATTGTGTATCCTCAKATGGAAGAGGCAAAGGGCAAAAAGACCAATGTCCTTCTGTCCTGACCTTTTAGAAGAGCTCCTTATTCAATTTGTGGACATGGAGCCATAGCTCTCTTGCCTTAATCAACTATCAAAACTCCTCTTTATACCATTGTTTTGGAGGCTAAATTGCAACATGAATTTTGGAGAGGACAAAAATAWGCAAACCGCTGAAGTCACCTTCACTTTTTCATTCACTGAAGCTTGACTAAAGAATTTTAAAATTCTAACAAGAAGTCAGCTAGACCAGTGATACTTCTGACTTTGATTTTGAATCTTTGGGTGACATAAGCCTAGCACATAACCATTGATTTAACCAGAATTCAGCTATGAAATAATTTTCACTATTTAAAATTCTCTAAAGTATAATACCATAAAATTCTCTTCTTCTCTAATGACATTAGGATATCTTTATCACCACAGTGAGGCTAATACGACATGCTCAGAAATATGATGAAACCTACTTCAGATAACTAGTGCCCATATTTTCTGGTTAATATTTCCTGGATTAGTACCTCATATTTGAACATCTCATTTCTAAGAATTTCCAAAAACATAAATTTTAGTTTTTCCAGAGGAGAACATTATTTTCCTATATTCTTCTTTTCTATCTTTTAATTTAGAGTGTTTTGTAAAAGGTTTTCATCATTATTGTCTTATATCCATTCAAATATTATACTTTAACCATTAAGACCTTTAAGATTAGGTGGTAAAATCCTATTATAGCCCAACATACATAGTATTCTAATTAAATAAAATAAAGGGAGATTTTAAAGACTGGATTGACAAACTTTCCCAGAAAGTATCTGCATGGCTAKAAAAGATTTTACATTCTCCTGCATATTTTTGTCTAAATATGATAGAGATGAATTATCCCTGACTAGACAGGGATAATTCTGACTATACACTTGATTCACTGGCAGTAAATGATATACTTTATGTGAATATTTATTTAAATGCTACAGAGAAAATCTTAAGACAGAAGAAGTTTATTTGTTATTTCTACGAAAGCTTTCTCTTCCAATTAGTAAACCATGAATTGTTTACTAATTCTGAGGTTTCTAATCTTTTAATTTGGTGTTAAGTTGGTACTGAGGAATTAGGCCAAGTAACTGAGTCAAGCTCCAGTAACCCATGCTCATTGTCTTCATTTAAAACCTGGGAGTTTATCATAGTAACTACCATCCCGTGACAGCATGAAACTTCTAACTATAAACAAAGGGTCTCATCAGAAGTGTGAATAGAAAAAAAAAAAAAAAACGTGAATCCAGCACCTGTACTGACGAGGTTCTGAGTTATCAACTTGGTTATGTAGTTTTTATTAAAAAGATATATACTGGGGCTGGAGATGTGGCTCAAGCGGTYGCGCTCGTCTGGCATGAGCGGGGTGCTGGGTTCATCCTCAGCACCACATAAAAAAAGTAAAAAATAAAAAATAAAGTTGCTGTGTCCACTGAAAACTAAAAAAAGTAAATATTAAAAAATTCTCTCTCTCTCTCTCACCCTGTCTCTTTAAAAAGAAAGATATATACTCTGCTCACTTAAGCAGCACACATACTAATATTGAAACAATACAGAGAAGATTAGCATGGCGCCTATGCAAGGATAACCTGCAAATTGGTGAAGTGTTCCATATTTTTTTAGAAAAGATATATACTACTATATAATGTATTATTCACATCAAAATGCCTAAGGTAAATATTATTTACCGCATATGCCCTAAAAACAGGTATGCTGGTTTTTATTATAGAAATTGAAGCTGTAAAATTACACAAACTATTGTTTATATCCTTATGAGGTATTTGTCTTCAGCTAATGCCAATTTCTTCCAAATATTTTCTCCTCCATATAGTAAGAATCACCAAGCCCCTCCTTCCTTATAGTCATTCAGTAGTAAGTGTTAACTCAAAGCCCTAAATTAGGCTGGCCAGAATGAGAAGCACACAGTATGATTCCCATCACTTCTCTATCCACCTCAAGATTGATGGATAGAGAATTARATTATGTCTAAGAGATAGAACAAGCTCAGATCAACTGGGGAGTTCTGGCTGGATTTCTAGAATCAATCTTCAGACTTCCTGTCTAGTTACTTATTCAAGAGCTTCATGCTGGCCAGATCAAATCAAGAGACAATGGTTTTTAAAATTGAGGGGGAAAAAATGGAGGTAGGTTTCAAATTATAGAATCTCATTTTTCCATGTAAAATTTATATCATGTATTTTATCACAGAAATCTTTATCACTTTCTAAGTCCTTTTGTTTTTTCCTAAATCTAACACACACTTTTCACATTAAAAAAWGTATATCTAAGGAGACAAGACACTCTAATAATAAATAGGGTGATTTGAAACAATCTACTGTGTTTGCATAAGCCAAAAAATAGCTCAGAAAACAACCATAACTAGATAATTATAAATGTACAACAGTGAAGAGAGTTTATCAGTTACACTTGATAAGTTTTAAATATTGTTTTCCTGTACTCTTTCTACATGAAAAGCTGTAATATGCTCCCATAGAGCTTGCTTGATTTATTGGGGAAAATAGTATGTATTTTGAAAAATGAGCTCTCTGAGCATTGATGAAAAAGGCCCAGAGAACACAGAAGGAGTGGTTACACTCTACTGCGTAAATAATGCATTAGAAATCTGTTCTCATTCAAAAACACAAGTAAAATTTTTCTAATGACACCCAAAATATTAATCCTTCAACTGTTTCTCAATTAGGAATGTCACCATCATTTTCTCCTTTGAAGATAATTAAATTAGTTGTTTTAAATTTAGAGGAAACCCAATTTTTAATTAATAATATTAAAAAAATAAATCTTGGTATGAGAAAATTACATCCCCATAAAACTACATTTCTGCTAAAGATAATAATTTCCATTTATATATTATGCTATGCAGTTCAGAATTTTGTTTTGGGTTTAAATATAAGCTATTTAGGAAACTGCATTCAGATGACCTCCAATAAATGAACATATGAATCTAATTAAATTTGTGTTAACAAGGAAGTTAATATGAATTAAGAAAATAATTTCATAATAGAAAAATAGTGAAATAGGAAACATAATACATTTCATTTTCATGGTAATTTAGCCAAAGATAAATTTTAGCTTTACATTTTTGGAAAACTGATTTGTAGAAAATAATAATTTGTAAATGAGATAAAAATAATTTCAGAAAGTCATTTTAAAGATTCTAGTATAGTTTTATCTCCTAAAACATAATRACTTCCCTCATTGTTTCCTTATTATTTTCATTTGTTTACCCTTTCCTTCATATTTCAAGGGCCATATCTCAGTCTAGTCATTTCACAGCATACAATAATACTGTACTAAAATAAGTCTATCATGCTTCCAGTTTTTAAAGTACTAAAATCATCACTTTTGATCCATTATTATCTTATTCTACAATAAAATTTATTATATTAAAAAGTATAATTATRTTAAAAAGTATCTTTCCCCCATTTCCTTATTCCATTTCTTCTCTTGCCTCAAATAGAAGTAATTTTGACTWTTGAAGTTTTTGAAAATCTGTCAAAATTTGGCTTCTTGTCTACCCCCCCACCCCAATAAAAAGTTCCAATTTAATTTTTTAATTATTATTATGTGGTACTGAGGATCGAACCCAGTGTCTCACGCATGCTAGGTGAGCACTCTACCACTGAGGCATGGCCCCAGCCCCCAATTTAAATTTTTAAAAATCATTCTTATTTTATTCCTTCTAATTGATTGATAATGTTTTTCTGAATTTCTCCCTTAGGATCTAGTATTGGTTTAGTATGCTAAATACAAGACTGAATACCCTCATTAAGAATGGTTTACATGCCAAAGAATAAATTTCTGCCCTAACAAAAAAGGGGTTGTTGTTCAATTGCAATGCAGTGAATGGAGAAATGAAGCTACAAGAGTATGCAGTACATATGTGCAAATGCAAACATCAGAAAATCCAGGCTGTCATTCTGTGCCCCATTAGCTGTGTATCCAATGCATTAATATGTAAGTGAAATATCCACATGCATTTTTATATTTGTGTGTTTAAATAGGTGTCTGATTCTCCAATAGGTAATTTCTAATACTTATTTTATTCTGTTGTCCTCAAGAATTCTTTGAGACAGGGACTGCATTAACAACATTTCCCAGATGAAGAAACTTAAGGGAGAACAGCAGGGGAAGGGGAGCTAGGGATAGAGAAGAAGGAAGGAAAAAGGGTAGTACTGGAAAATTAAATAAATCAATAAATTAAATTAATTCATACGTGCTCTATGCATATATGRATGTATCACAATGAATCCCATTTTTAYGTATAATTAAAATGTATTGATTTAAAAAATTAATGGAAGGGAGATCCGTAGAATACAGTGGATGAGTCTTTACCAGAGAAAGGAGGAGAGAGAAAGAGGAATATTGGGGATTATCATTGATCAAATTATATTGTGTGCATATATGAATATGTCACAATGAATCCTAGTATTATGTATAAATATAATGTACCAATAAAACATAAGAATTATTTTTAAATTGATGTATATGAGTACAATTTAAACTCAGATCTGTTTGATAATCTAGTCTACATTCTATTTATTTATTTATTTATTGYTTATAGTCCTTAGGGATTGAGCACAGGGCATTAGTACATARTAGGCAAGTGCTCTACCAATTGGCTACATCCCAAGTCTAGCCTATGCTGTGGAACAACCTACCACTGTGCTAAGATGATAAAAGTAGTTCTTCAGGTGAACAGTGCCCTCCAGTCTTCTCTGAGGTGTTTCAGGAATGTATCCAATGCTATTCAATACAATTTGCAACAGAGAGAATGCAAGTAAATATGAATCAGTAGAAGGCCATAACTCTAAGAACACACAGAGAGAGTTAGCTGAAAGTCTGATGGGAGGAGGCACTCAAACAACTCAATCCATCTTAATCTGACTACTTCATATTATGTGACCTCAWCTACCAATACTCTTTCTGCATCTGTGGTCATCTTTTTAGTAAAAACCAGGGAACAAAAAGCACTTTATGTGACCCCTTCTTTTCCCCATTAATAATTTTGGTGAAATGTAAGCAGCAATCCATTGATGGAACATTCATGTAGAAGCAAGCCCAGACAACTTTGTGGATTTTGGCTAAGAAGATTGGAGCTGGTAAGTCATAGCATTTTATATTTCTTCAATACTGTGGAGGCTGTTTCCTCATCCATATAACCCTGAATTTCTGCATGAAAGCCCCAGTTTAGAGGGAAATAATGTTTCTGAGGAAGACTGAAAAKGTCCACTGATCCCAGAAAAGAAAGTGTTCGTATAATCCACAAGGTCATATAAACCTGGCCACTTTAATATTTTATCTCAGAAACTGAACTCATTTAGAAAATGCTCTTCTAGAACTGTTACATTTTCCCAGTTTCCCTGACACTGTCATTATTTTCAATTTTAAAGTAAACAGGAGAGTGTACTCTGCTCTTGTTGCCTTAAGAAAAATGTTGTCTTTACAATTATATATTCCCAGTATTTATCAAGAATGGTGGACAATGCTACCCATTTCTTCCATTTCTATAGACTAGAAAGCATGTAGTTCTATTTTTGAAGTTCCAGAGTACCATACAATGACTAATGCAAAGAAGACTATTGGAATTATTTGACAAATGAATAAATAAATGGTCAAAGTGAATAAATATATATACAAACATGTACGTATATACAYACACATACRTATTTACATCCATTTGAAAACTTGCATTTTATAACCTAAATTCTCGTACAAATATAATTTTTAAATAGCGTGAAGAATAGTCTGTGACTTTCCTTTTCTATCAGAAATATAATATAGAATATTGGGTAAAAAACAAACTCTTAGAACAAAACTGCTATGGTTTGAATCTTGGATTTGTTTATTTGTGCTCAATTTGCCTCCGTTTTCTCATTTGGAAAATGGAAAAAAAATAATTACCAATATTATGAATTTGTTATGAGGGTAAAATAGTATCATAAAGTGCTTACCACTTAACTGTGATGTTAATGGGATTTTTGATTATGTATACCTATATGACAGGGTTAATTTGGTTCCATGTTTTATTTCAAGCAAACTCCCTGTATCAATAGAAATATTTTCTATTTATTTTCTTTACACTCATACTCCTCTMTCAGAAAGTGATGAATTCAGCTCCTCTTTCTCTTTCATCAAACATGGATTTGATATTTTCTTGGTTTAAGGTACAATTTAAATGTGGTTAGACTATCTTTGGAATTTAAGAAGATGGATGAGAAGCAAAAATTAGTGTTCAAGGTTTAAAGTCAGTAAAAGTYTTTCTAGAATACTTCTGAAGTAAGCATTATGAAATACCACAGAGAACTGAATGAGAACCTATACCTATATTACATAGTCAGTAAATCCTAATTTGCATGCCACTGAACTAGTTACCTGTCTCAAGTGAAATAGGATAGACATCATCCTAGCTTTCAAGATGCTCATAATCACATACAAAGAAGAGTGGTCATCATGAACTGGGAATAAGAGCCTGAAGCATCAGTTGATTCAACAACACCTGAAATAACTATAAAGCTTATATGTAAATTTCTAATTTGGGTAGCTCATAGATATATTAATAATAAATATCTGAGTGTTACTTTGCATCTGAAAATATTAG